CACCTCAGAAATATTTTTAGGTGTTGGCCATTCTTTAATAGCCTTTTCTTCATCTACTGCGATTCCGTCAGCTGAAACAACATACCCTAAAAAAATAATCTGATTTGTGAAAAATCTGGATCATTAGCATATAATTCTTTAATGTGCTCAAATCCCAATAACTTTGCACTTAGAGTAGAGATAAGTGTGTACCTACGAGATAATGCATCTGCCACAATGTTTTCCTTTCCTTGCTTATACTTGATCACATAGGGAAATGTCTCAAGGAATTCCACCCACTTAGCATGTCGTCTATTCAACTTACCTTGTCCCTTGAGGTCCTTCAACGACTCATGATATATCACGAACTCCTTAGGCTTTGCCACGTTTCTAAGGGCCTTACCAATGCATACATCTCTTTATCATATGTAAGATAGTAAAGTTGATGGGAATCAAGATGACCCCACATGTACCACATCAAGAGATCCATTACACATTCCAGGAGGTCCAATCACGAGAGCTAGAGCTGGGAAGATGCAAGAAGCTTTAAATGGTCTTATTGAGCAGATCTGGGTTGATGACAACATACAGCAAGCAAATCAAAGCTTGGATCATTATCAAGGCATGGTAAACATCATTCAGGTTCAAGAGAAGCTTAGTTGTGGTCACTTGCACAGAATTATATAGTTTGCGTCAAAATCGCACAATTCTGCCGCAATTTGTAGCAAACTGATATTTCATGTTATTTAGGTTATTTTTAGTGATTTTCACGTTTTTTGTATTATTTTTGGGCTGAACATTCGCTTATTTGAAGCCCAATTCGTGGTTATTAGGTTTAGGACTTAGGGTGTTAGTTTCCTATTCTGATTAGGATTTGCTTTCTTTATTTAAAAGGCTTGTAACCCTAATGGGGAGGAAGGGCGATTGAATCTGAGATTTTGAGAGACTTTTCTCTTTGGTTCATTTCAGAACTTTACAGAACTTATCAAGATTATTCTTGTGGCGTTCTAACCTGACTTATCATTCTCGTTCTTAATCGTTCAAGGGTGTGGCATCAACCAACTTTATACCTCTGGTTCTTGTTGCGTCATAGACAACGGATCAAGGTTTTTACCATTGGTTCTTGTTGCGACATAAACAACGGGTCAAGGTCCTATTATAAACCTGATTTAGCTTTCCTAGAGTTTAGAAATCCCTTGTCGAGCTGTGGGTCTCATTGTTCTCTTTGGGGTTCTCATCAAAAGTGCTGCACCAGTCAATTTTTCACTAAAAAACGTAATAGGCCGCTGCTCTTGCATCAAAACAGCGCCAATGCCAATATCTGATGCATCACATTCAATTTCAAAAGTTTTAGTAAAATCAAGTAAAGCAAGTAGTGGTGCAGAAATTAAATTCTCTTTAATCAAATTGAAAGCATTCTCCTGTTCACTTTGCCACTTAAATCCAACACTTTTTTTCACGATTTCTGTCAATGGAGCTGCAATTGTGCTGAAGTCCTTGATGAATCTCCGGTAGAAACTTGCCAAACCATGAAAACTCCGCACCTCAGAAATATTCTTAGGTGTTGGCCATTCTTTAATAGCCTTAATCTTTTCTTCCTCTACTGCAATTCCATCAGTTGAAACAACATACCCTAAAAAAACAGTCTGATTTGTGCTAAAGGAACACTTTTTAAGGTTAGCAAACAACTTTTCTTTTCTCAGAACCTTTAATACCATTCACAAATGCTCAATATGATCAGTTAAACTCTTACTATATATCAGAATGTCATCAAAATAAACAACCACAAATTTGCCAATGAAAGCATGCAAAACATGATTCATTAATCGCATAAATGTACTATGTGCATTAGTTAATCCAAATGGCATAACTAACCACTCATATAAACCATGTTTCATTTTAAAGGCTGTTTTCCATTCATCCTAATCTGATGATACCCACTTTTTAAATCAATTGTAGTGAATGTGCAAGAACCATGCAGTTCATCTAACATGTCATCTAATCTAGGAACAGGGTGACGATACTTTACAGTGATTTTGTTGACAGTGCGACAATCAACGCACATATGCCAAGTTCCATCCTTCTTAGGCACAAGTAGCACTGGAACTGCACATGGACTCATGCTTTCTCTCACATGCCCCTTCTTCATGAGTTATTCAACCTGCTTTTGAAGTTCTTTCGTCTCATTGGGGTTGCTTCAATATGCTGGCTGGTTTGGAATTGTTGCACCTGGAATGAAGTCAATCTGATGCTCAATTCCTCTTATTGGTGGTAAACCATTAGGGATGTCCTCTGGAAACAAGTCCTTGAAGTCCCGCAAAAGAGATTTAACAACACTAGGCAAAGAATCATTAAGTTCGTTAGTGTTGAAATAAGCATCTTTATACAAAAGCACAAACATAGGCTGCTTT